ATAACAGGTTACAACATGTAACAACAGGTTACAACAGGTTACAACAGGTTACAACAGGTTACAACATGTGATCAACATGTGGCAACAGTTACAACAGGTGACAACAGGTTATAACAGGTTACAACATGTAACAACAGGTTACAACAGGTTACAACAGGTTACAACATGTGACAACAGGTGACAACAGGTTACAACAGGTTACAACAGGTACAACAGATAACAATTCGAATAAACAGTCAACGTCGATAGAGATGTCCACATGTAAACACGCATTTTGCGGGCATGCCTGTCAGCCAACTATCACACAAACGCGCGCACGCATTCACACACTTACAACACTCAAAGATGCATATACACACACAACACACGTGTGTATACATTATCGCACGCACGCACGCACACACACACACACACACACACCACACACACACACACACACACACACACACACACACACACACACACACACACACACACACACACACACCGCATTATATATAATATATATATATATATTATATATATATGATATATAGTTATAACATGCATCGTGTAACGTATAGTGTGTAACGTTATAACATGCATCGTGTAACGTATAGTGTGTATAACGTTATAACATGCATCGTGTAACGTATAGTGTGTAACGTTATAACATGCATCGTGTAACGTATAGTGTGTATAACGTTATAACATGCATCGTGTAACGTATAGTGTGTAACGTTATAACATGCATCGTGTAACGTATAGTGTGTAACGTTATAACATGCATCGTGTAACGTATAGTGCGTAACGTTATAACATGCATCGTGTAACGTCTTACCTCGACTGTCTTAGACGCTAGAGCATTCAGATCGGACGAGCCGTAATATCCCAGTTCCTTGAGATACACAGTTGCCTTTCCTTTCACTTTACCACCGTGCGTGTACCTGCGGAACGAGATATATGTAATTGCGTACGTAATACGCACGAGAACGCGCGCGTACTTCAATACCGAAATCACAGGCATTTGGAACGTTTCAATGATGAAATGATGGTAAATAAACACGAAATGTATTTACTACCAAAGTCTCAATGTCCATGTATTCTCTATCGACTAAAAGCATGATTAACGCCCAGATGACGTGTAGAACTGTATTTCGCCGCGTCTGCGAAAAAGTAGACACGTCGATTTCACCGTTTATTTATCGGAAAATGTAATTTGCTCATTCTCATTCTCTGAGATGGTTTTGGTTGTGATCATTGTTTACTTACTTGGCCTCCACAGTGCCGGTGAGTTTAAAGCTGTTTCCAACGAGAAAGGCTGGCAGGTTCACCTTCACTTCAAACCTCGGCAACACTGCAAACATTTAATTAATAATATAATTTAATCAATGACGCAACATGCAACGCGACGCGATCAATAATCAAGTGACTACTACGCTTCGTGTGATTGACTGGAAGCTCCAGCCAATCAGCGTTGCGATACAGCGATATCAAAGATGGTGCTTGGCATCAAACTGCCGCAAAGTTGACAATATAACGTACACGTGTTAAAATATATACAAATACGTTGACCGACGTAAGAACGGTATTAGTAGTTGTGCGGTTATGTCGTTATTTCGGTTCAGTATCCGTTCATTTTTCATCAGCAACGCAAGTTCAAACGCGCAAACGTGGAAACGTGCGACCAGCATGGACTCGCGAACGCACATGAGTGATTTCGATGAATTACGTAACAATTACTAGTAATTTATTCAAGGGGATTCGTTAAAACTATGAAACACAGACCAGCTGTAAGGGTAGTGTTAATAGTTACCATATTCTTCCACAACAAAGCCTTTCTCTTCTCGTTCATCCTACAAAAAGAAATCATATGAATAGCGGTTAGATTTACAGTATTTAATACATATTTAGAAAGACATCACAGCTGCGTACCAGTGCTGGCATCGCCCCTGGTGCCACTTCCCCGCTTGTATATAGTACTGTGCATTCTGTGTGAAAATACGTCGTGCCATCGAGTATACAGCCAACACGCGAATCACAACGCTATAATATTGTCAGGAGTTAATAAATACTTTATTTTGTCTTTATTAACTACTGATATTATATATGCTGTATTTGACTACTACATATCAAACGGTAGATGGCGGTAGATGGCTCGTACAGTGCAAGGTACAGTGCATGCTACCGACACCCGGGTGGTGTGGAAGCGTCGGTGCTGCCACTTATACGTGTTCGCGACGTGGCGGCGCTTTTGGGAAGCTTTACCCCCTTTTAAACCCGGTACCGGTATCAACGGGGTATGCGGAAGCCGACAAGCGGCTCGCTCGATGTGGTTTGGTGTTACTGGCCTAGTTTCACACAATGTGTGTGACGAAATGTCTGTGTGTGTGCGTGTGTGTGTTCTGGTGTGGTGTACGAACGAGCAAATACATCGGAAAATGACGTGAGCTGTTGTTCAAACAGAGAATCGATATTTAAGCGTAAAGTAGTAAAGCGTAAAGATCCAGATAGAATGGAACCATCTTTACGCGTATATGTGTCGTGCATGAGTGTCGTGCATGAGTGTCAAATAATAATACTTACGGCGACGTTAACATTTATTGTCCAAGCGCCAAAGATCGGTTGGTCGGACAGCATGAATTCAAGCGTAACAACACCTGAGGAAATCAAATTGAAAATGCACACAACGACATAATAAACAGTAAACAACGACAACAAGAGTCGTCTGTCTGTATCCACAGAGCGGGTTCGTGACGTCATCCCATACATTGCTATATAAGGACGGCCTAATGTCAATGTAACGTAAATGTGCAACGTAATTCTCGTTTAAATCTAGTAAAAGTAAATTCTATTTCTTAGACTTGCATGACGTCAAGCGTTGTTCTGTACATCTAGTTCATTCTAGGACGAGAATCTGACGAACCATTCGTGATTGGAAAGTGTGTTGAAAACAAATATAAATCACATCGCACATAACACGCGTAGGACAGCTCGTCCACTTACCGATGTCAGTGCTTAGGTCTCGCCATATCTTTATACGATTCCCACTCGGATCATTGATCTGCACCTCCAGCTTGCCTTTGTACGGCTTCAGATATGGATCAACGGCCACAACTCTGAATTGCACTGTTGATTTAATGGCAAAAGCACGTTAGCATTCCACAGACTACTCTCACACACACAATCACTGACGGAAACAATCTGTTCACTCAAGAATCGTAACAGTTAGACGCAGTGTATACGGACACGACCGCTTGTCAGCTAGGCGGTCATGTCAACAAAGACATGCAGGTTTTTTTTAGAAAAACGTTTGTTTAGATAGGTTTCTCACAGGTGATGCCTGAAGTCGCAGCGTTTTCCGGAACATGTTGCCTAGCGTCACGGTGTCTTATAGAATATGTTGCCTAGCGATACGTGCCTTATAGAAAATGTTGCCTAGCGACACGGTGTCTTATAGAACATGTTGCCTAGCGACACGTGCCTTATAGAACATGTTGCCTAGCGACACGGTGTCTCATAGAACATGCTCCTTGGCGAGATAGTATCTAATAGAACACGTTGCCTAGCGACACGGTGTCTTATAGAATATGCTCCTTGGCGAGATAGTATCTTATAGAACACGTTGCCTAGCGACACAGTCGTTGTCTCGTGAGTGTCTATAAGCAGAGATCGGCGATATACATATGTGTGTGTGTACGTGTACGTGTGTGTGTGTGTGTGTGTGTGTGTGTGTGTGTGTGTGTGTG